TACGCAAAACGTGTCCTAACCAACGGAGCCTACTGAGCTGGATTCGATGAGAGCGAGTTTTTGTTCGATGCATTCCCAAACACCCGACGACTTACTTCTAAGTTACTAACCCACTCACTCGATCCCACTTGGGCCAGACTAAGTAAGCATCGATTGTCGAACACTGCTAAACGGTATCTTCTAACCGCAAATTCAAGGTCTCACAACCGTAAAGCAGAACTGATCGTACGGTGGGGCAGTATACACGACTTTTCAACTTCAGTGTAACTTCACGTCGCCGCCACAGGTGTTTTAGTCCTGCGTACACTGCTCGAGCCTTGGAAAGGCGGGCGGTTGTCTCCTTCGATGTGCTACCGCCGTTGGTTACGCAGCTACCTAGGTACGAGAAGCAGTCAACTTCAGCTAATTTCAAATCAGAACTCGGTCACACACAGTCTTGCAGCATTACTTTGCACTTTGAAGGTGCAAAGTACATGCCGAACGGAGCAACAGAACTTGCTAATCTGAAAAGTGCTCTTTGCGCATCCTCCATGGATTCGAACAGGCAAACGATGTCGTCAGCGAACTCCAAATCACATATCTTTTCTCCAGCTGCCCATTCAATACCTACATTTTGCAGACCACTTAGTGTTTTCCAGTATTTCGTCTATGACGAAATTGAACCGGAATGGTCAAAGAGAGCACCCTTGACGATCACCGCTGCTAGTTAAGAACAACCTACTCTGCTCGCCGTAGACCCTTACGCTACCAGAAGTATGTGAGTAGAGTGAACTTAGTATATTCACATACTCCTGCGGCATTCTTTTTCGAAGGAGTGAACCCATAAGGGATTCACGATCAACTGAGTCGAAGACTCCTTTTAGGTCAAGGAACACGACAACCGTCGGTCGACGGTGCGTATGGCGTCACTCGAGGACTTGACGCAGGGTGAAGATTTGATCGATACAACCACGGCATGGTCAAAATCCTGCTTCGCAGATATTGGTCTCCCCAAACGGGGTCAGACGTCGAAGTATGATGGAGGCTAGTAACTTGGTGACGATTGAAATCAAACTTATGCGATGGTGATTTGCGCAGTCGTTGCGAGATCCCTTCCTGAAAATGGGAACAATCAGTGATACATCCCATAATAATGGAATGCGCTAGTTTGACCATATGTTACGCATTAAATCAGTAATATAGTTTACAAGTTCGTTGCCCCCCCATCTTAAAAAGAGTTGGAGGAAGCCCTTCCGGTCCTGCTGCTTTTTCTTCATGGCTTGGATGCACGATCGAACTTCGGCTGCAGTAGGAGGTCCATATGACACCGCCCATGGAGCCTCAACTACATCAGAGGAAATGGTCTGGTCAATGCCTGGTCAGCTGAACTGTTCATTGAAGTACTCCGCTCTGGCGCTAACTTTCCCTGAAGGGTGTGCCGACAAGTTAATTGGAATATTAGGATCGCTTTATACTAATGGCCGAAGTCGAGTCCGGGCTTATGGCACTTTTTCGCCCGAGTTCACCACCGAAAGTGGTGTTCGACAGGGCTGCCATCTCTCTCCTTTTCTATTCAACTTTGTTGTAGATTTTATTATGGAAACAGCCCTATCCTCTTGAGAATAACGGCATCGACTTACTTCCAGGTGGCAGACTGTTTGATCTAGAGTATGCAGACAACATTGTGCTGCTTAGTGAAGATCCAGGTAAGTTGCAAGCATTTCTGGATAACTTGAATGCCAGCGTTTTCGGTATGCGTTTTGCACCTTCAAAGTGTAAAATGTTACCACAAGACTGGGTTGGTGCAGCACCCAGCCTCGCTCTCACCGGGGAAGTAATAAATCATGTGGCTAAGTTTTGTTATTTGCTCAGCTACATCACCCGGTAGACGCCTCACGGATGAAGTGTCAGCTTGTATACAGAGGGCTCGATTGGCATTTGCCAACTTGGGACATCTGTGGCGCCGTCGCGACATCCGGTTGTCTGTGAAGGGTCGAGTGTATACCGCCGCAGTTTGGTCACTGCTACTCTACGGCGCAGAAACTTGGTCATTAGAGAAACACGATAAAGATAGACTGTTTGTGTTTGAACACCGCTGTCTACGCAGCATCGCAACATCTGGTGGGGCAGCCGGACGAGCAATGCTGAGGTTGAACACCGCTGTCTACGCAGCATTGCACGAATCTGGTGGGGTAGCCGGATGAGCAATGCCGAGGTTAGGCGCAGAGTTTTGGGTATCCGCGGTCGCCCACTGGAGCAAGTGGTCGACCTCCATAGATTACGCTGGTTGGGGCATGTGTTACGCATGTCTCCAAATAGGTTGCCACGGCGAGCGATATTTGCCGAGGCTGGTAGTGGGTGGAAGAAAGCCAAGGGTGGTCCAGCTAAGGCCTGGTATGAGGGTATGAAAACCCCAACCAGGAGTCTAGGTCACACATGTCCCGTTAGGTTCCCTGGATGGGAACCTCGGGATGGTCGTACCCGATGGTTAGAGATACTGAGTGATATGGCTGGGTATCGTAAACAGCGGCGTTTGTGCATCTTCTCCATTTCTCTGTATCATTAATCCACTGAACTTTTCAACCTTCTCTTCGATCCCACTTTCAACCTTTCCTGTGTTTCTCCTAATGTTCATCCAAATGGGTAGCCGTAAGATAGCCACCAAAACCGGCTCACGATAGTGCATGGTTAATGGTTATTCAAACTGAAAACTGAAACTCAGGAAGAGATCATTTCCGATGACCAATGTGTCGAAGTATGAAGTGCATTGGAACTAGCGCGTGTTTAGGTTCGACGCGATTAGTTCAATATGATACGCAATTTTTATTAGGAACCACACCAGCGTACAAATATGTGGTCAATTTGGGTTAACTTATTCGTTGAAATAGAATTCTATGTTTACTGTTCGTCGAGATCTGTGTCGAAAGTTGATGCTAAATAGGAACAGTCGGTGATCAGCGTAGAGCTGAAGTAGTCGGTCACGGTTATCTGTTCAGTGGGCGAGAAGAGTCTAGCGCCCCTATCGACAGACTTCAGACGCGCTCAGTTTTCCAACCCGCTCGTTGAAATCATCTATCAGCACTATAACATCAGAGCCACGGCTTAATCGGATGAGCTCATTGAGTTTTTCGTCAAACTCGTCCTTTGGTAAATGCAGACTGCAGTTGGTTGGTGCATATGCTGGTATGATGAGCAAGCACCTTTTGGTGTCGTTTCCCTTCCGAACACTAGCTGAACCCTTGAGTCTCTTTGCGCACAAACGACTGTTTACTGGTATCCAGTCTATCAGTGAGGATTGAGCTTTATCGTCTATATATATTTCACACTTGTCTGAGGACAGACTGTGTGCCAAACAAATCATGGTACAATAATCTTTATAAAAGGAAAAATGATCCCGATTGGCTTCCGGGCTGAGTACTGCAGGTTGCCCAGGCCAAGGCAGGTGAATTTTCTTGAGGAATCCACAACCGGAACCTTCGGCTAGCCAAAGCCTGACCCTCAAGGCAGCGGGGCGGTTTGCGAAAACCGCAGTCCATTGGGAGCCGGTGTCCAGTTCATCGGATCATACGCCCTTCGCATGGGGTCAGACGTCCAAGGTGCCCAATACACCTCAATGCCCAATCGAGCCGGTGGCCACTGCCACAACCGAAAAGGTGTGGGTGTGGTTCGTACGTCTCCTCATGGTTGGTTTGGAATCAGGGTTTTGGCCAACTCCCCTAGGTGAACTGCCAGTGGTCCACCAACCCGGATATCGGCTTTTCGTCCTCTCACTTTGGTGGGAAAACACCTCCGCCGCGAGAAGGCAGTGAGTAGGGCTTCCTCAGC